GCGTCCGAGCCGGACATCAGCGCCGGTATGGAGTTCTGCTGGACGGATGTGGTCTCACTGATGGACAGCCTATCGCTCAGACACTTCACTAAATACGGGTGTAATGAGAGTTCGCTGTAGTTGTGCGACGAGAACACCGGTTCCACTCGACTCTTGGTGTCCACTCTATAGACATGGCGTAAAAAAAGTAGAGATAATTAGCCATCGATGGCAACGGTGTGTGCACTCAATGGTGACCTACATATGGATTGGTGGCACGTCTTGGGAAGCGCTGTCAAAGAGCCGTGAATTGAGTTTCGCATAACTGAACCGATTGTCCGCCCGTTTGTCGGCCCGTCTGTCCCCACCCGGGGCTCGTCTGTCCGGCCGACTGGACGTCCTATCCATCCACGACCTGTCCGGCGATGTCTTGCCATCGGTGTCGGCATTATCTTCGGCGCTATTATCAGTATTTCTCTTATGGATCGCCTTTTTCTGCACTTTTTGGCGAAGTTTTGCTTTTTTGTTGGGACTCTCGTTGGAGTGAAATATATTCAAAATCAATGAATCGCTGTTTGTATCCATGCTTTCAATCAAATGCATTGATATTTGGTGTCAACTATATTGTCAACAAATTGTATACAAAATTAGCACTCAATTCAAAATCATCGGTAAAACATGGCTTTGAAAGTCAAACACGTGTTGCGATTGTAAACACATTTCAAATGTTTTTGGTGTTTTTTAAATGCCATTTAAGTGTTCATTAATAATGTCATTAATATTAATGTGCCCTCAAAAGCACTTTTTACACTCATTTTACTATTCATTTTGTGAACATTTTCTATGCATTCATTGCCATTATTTATGGACTCAACGCTCAATTCACAAACCATTGACTGCTGGCAAACACGTGTCGGCCATTGGATACAATCGCCACTCAATGCACACAACGCTATCGATTGCGTGTGAAGCGCATGGAAGGCATCGCTGTGTTGGGCATCGCTTGTCAGCTCTCATCGTAGGGTTTGCTATGATTTGAGAAGCGATAAGAAAATACATTTCTATTGAATACTTGAGGGAACATACGATCCGTGGTTATCATCGTGTTGTGTATGAATGCCTCATAGATAGCCAGGTCATCGAGAGTGTGCCCGCACCTATTAGATA